ACCGCGTATCAACTTGCACGCAACCTTGACCGTTCAGAGTACCGAATCAAAATAATTGAGAAGCATGTTAAATCATCGCAAGATCAGTATGGCCGCGCCATTACCCTCTTCCCCCGCAGCTCAGAGATGCTCGAGCAACTTGGCCTTGCAGACTCTCTCGCCCAGCAATGCTTCGCCTGCCGTGAGACGGCCAATTACGATCGACATGGCAATGAAGTTGAGGGCAGAGGCTGGGCATTTATGCAAAACATGAAAGACACGAATTGGGACTTTGCGCTGGTATTGCGGCAAAAGTATCAAGAAGATGTATTTCGGACTGCAATGAAGAAAGAAGGCGTCGAGCTGCAAGCACCGTACACACTGGTCGATATCCAGGTACTACAAGACGTCAATCCCGGCGGATATAGAATCCTAGCCACGATCGAGCACAGCGAAACAAAAGACCAAAGCATAGTAAAATGCCGGTACCTAATCGGTGCCGACGGAGGCAAATCCTTTGTCCGTCGCACCCTCAACATCCCCTTCGACGGCACCTCGACTGAAGACAAATGGATTCGCATCGACGGCGTCCTCGAAACAAACCACCCCAAACCCCGTACCTACTGCGCCATTGAAAGCCCAACACACGGTAACGTGCTTTGGGCACCCCTCGACCGCGGTGCCACACGCATCGGCTTTGCCTTTACGAGCGCGCGCCAAAAAGCTTATGCTGAATTCACTCAGGAGGCCGCTGAAAAGGAAGCCATTGAAGCCGTAAAACCGTTCTCCATCCACTTCAAACAAGTAGACTGGTGGACCATCTACGTAGTAGGCCAACGCATCGCCCGCTCCTTCTTCGTGCACGACTGCATCTTTCTAGTCGGTGACGCATGCCACACGCACAGCAGCGGGGCAGCTCAAGGCATGAACACTGGGATCCACGATGCCGTCAACCTAGCTTGGAAGTTATCGCTTGTATTAAAGGGTATTGCTTATCCCGACCTCCTGAACTCGTATGAAGCAGAGCGTCTACCCAATGTCCAGCGCTTGATTAATTACGACAGGGATATTTCACGGCTTATGACGATGCAGTTGCCCGAGGGGTGGAAGGGGAATCCGGATGCGGATCCGAATGAGGTTCTCGGTACTGTTATGGCGGAGGCAGCAGGGTTTAGTAGTGGATTAGGCATTTTTTATGAGCAAGATGGGTATTTGAATGTTGGTACTTGTACCGAGGACATGGCGTCTGTGTCGAGGACAGTGCAGGCGGGGCAGAGGGCACCGGATGTTAAGCTCACTAAGCCGGGGACGTGGGAAGGGACGCGATTGCTGGCTCAGACGCCGAATTTTGCGGGGTTTTATGTGTTGGTTTTCACGGGGGAGGTGGAGGGGAAGAGGGAGCGGCTTGGGGAGTTTGTGGGAGCGGTGGGGAGAGCGGCGTGGGTGAGTGGTGGTGAAGTGCCGGTGTCGTGGATTACGGTTGTTTCTGGACGGGGTGTATCGTCTGCGTATGAGGCGTTGGGTGGTATGATGCCGTTTGGGCGTGTGTTTTATGATGAGGATGACAGTGCAGTTTCAAGGTATGGGGTTGATAAGGAAAAAGGTGGTATGTTTGTCTTAAGGCCCGATGGATGGGTGGGTATGGTTTTGACATTGGATGGGTCTGCTGGAGAGAGGCTTGACGGGTATTTTGGGAGGTTCTTGGTGGGAGTGGGAGACAAAAAGATGGCGAGGTTGTAGACTTGACGAGGACGGGCTGAGTGGAAAAGAAGAGGTTGAGGATACTTCGGATGCTTTTCTCTTATTATAGACCTTAATTTCATTTCCTTGATTACTATTGCTATGCTTGTCAAAGGGCAGCGTAATATGTCTTTATAGTATACCCTAGCTGTGTGTTCATGTTGCTGTATAGTGAGCGAATATCAGGTAAGAGCACCTATTCCTATATTTTAGCAGTGGTTTTGTAAGGAATTCAACCCAAATCCTTACATCTCTTGCGATATTAATAGGTCCAAAACTAACACGCGGGGTCCAAGATCTACGTAGTAGCGGATCGTGTCGCTAATCTGCCAAGCCTGCAGGCAAGATGACGTACCCCGCGTGTCGTCGGCGCATCCGTGTCAATCCTCGTCTTCGACCAGGTATGGATTTGTTCTACGTTTCTGAGCCTGGTGTCATACACCTCCCGCAACCATGTCGACAACCCAACCCCTCACCCCCGCCCAGACACACGCTCTCTTTGATATCCTGATCCACCACCAGGTCTACGCCGAGATTGAAGCCTTCAAATACCCCTCGACCATCGACCAGTATGGCTACCCGTTTCGCAAAGCCGACGGCGTGCAGTCGACGAGCCCGTTGCTGCAGAACATGCTCAACAAGTTTGCGCTGTGCAACCCCGCCATCAGGAACTTTGGAGAGGCGTGGTGGTCTGAAAAGATCCAGACGCTAGTCGCAAAAATGGCCGAAGCCGAACTGAGCGAGAGTTACGACAAGGGCGCTATTGGTAGCAGGAAAGCGCTCGCAACGGCTGCAAGTAGTATTGCTGAGTACGTTGCGAGGGGCATGCTCGGAGGTTACTCGAGGAAGCAGAAAGAAAGCAAGAAAGAGTATGACACCAGCAAACCTGAGGACGTCATTCAGGGTTTTGAAGAGCTGGTACACGAGTCGATTTACGGCAATGCTCTCGATGAACTGTATGAGAAGGTCAAGGCGACTTCGAGGCTCGAAGACCATTCGAGTAGTCTACAAGCAGCGCATGAGTATATGCTGCTGAAGTGAGTACTCGCACGGCATATTCGTACTACCTCTAACAGCATCAGTGCTGCCTCTTTCCTCCACCATGTCTTCATCATGTCACCCGACGGCCAGTACCTTGTTCGCCTCCTCGAGAATCTGCACCGCCTCATTCCATATACCGTAGTCAAGCAAACACTGCGCGTTGGCAATGCCGCTACCATGATTAACGGCATGGTCAGGCTGGTCCTGGCAAAGTTGTCTGTGACAGCTATGACTAACTGGATAGGTCTTACGAATAACACGAACGACGGTATGAACCTTTTACAGCAAATCATTTCTACAGTGCTAGCATGGGATACATCGGAGTTTCAGAAGCGGGCAACTAAACTCGAGGCATCGCGCAATGCTCCGGATAAGAGGGTTTTCAAAGCAATCAAGACGTTTGTATACGCACCGAGAGGGAAGCATGAAGCTGCGCGAAGCCAGTCAATCTCGGAATCCAAGTCGATTGTGGCAGTCATTCTTGAGACGTCTGACCCACCGTACAAGATTGATGCCGAATCGCTCAACGAGCACCAACACAGTGTGGCCATGGAGTACTTCAGCACATATCTCTCTATTCGAGACCGCGAGGAACTCACAAAGGTTCTTTGTAAATCCAACCCTGACGTCTTGACTTCTACAATTCGCGACGCCGTTGCAGGCATGGATCCCGTCATCCGGGCCATCCACAACGCTGTTGATCTGTCCGGCACCGTCACTGATGCCGAGGCATTTATTACAGATTTGATCAAGACGGCCAAACCCAAGAAGAAGGGCGGTGGCTACAGAAGCCGCGAGGCTTCCAAATCGCGTCCAAGCTCACCAGATCCAGCTAGTATCTTGGATCAAGAGCCAAGTGACGCTCCTACAGTGGAGGAGTTTGTACAATTGCTTAAGAGGCACGCGCCTTCGATGCACAAGTTCCTACACCAGGTCACCAAGAACGCACCGGATCTTGGGCAGGACTTCCTAGTGTACGCTAAGCGCATATTCTCCGAATTCCGAGTCGACCAGCGTGCATTAGAGGCCGAAGAACGAGGCGAGGGTGGTGCAGGAAATATGACGGCGCCGCTACACTCTATATTCGAGACTCTAAGCAAGGAAAAGCAAGACGAGCTAAAAGAGCTCCTCGACAAGCACGAAGAGCACCTCACAACGCTCAAATCAACATCGCAAACTCGTCTAGAATCAATCATGCGACCAACAGCTTCCTCATCACAAAATAGCAAAGGCACAACTCATGGCCCAGGCATGTACCTCTCCCGCTGGAACGCCTTACTCGACAGCACCCTCATCACCCCCGCCACAATCCATGGTCCCGTCCGCAGAGGCTGGGAAGTCAAGGGTGAACTTGATGGTAAAGGTCTGAAAACAAATAGTACACTACTTAGTGAGAGAGCTAGCAAGCGTGACCGTATTACCGCTATGATGGCGGACGGGACGGGAGATCGGATCGAGAGGAGGGAACGTAAGCGGGACGGGCTGGAGGAAGAGAGCATGGAGGTTGTGTGGGAGAGTTTGAGAGATCCCTGGGTAGGGGTTTGCAAGGGGTTGGAGGTTATGGGGCCAGAATAGGGTTGGTTTTCTGTTACATATAGATAGGGGAAGAGGATTAGGGACATACTATATATACAATTATAGAGGTTTTGCATAGTTTTCATGTGCTTCTGAATTGCTAATATATTGCTGTATGTAGCCAACAGGTAATATTACTACCTACATATTACATGAATCACGCGTTTATCTCCCGGCTTTCTTTGTCTTACAACCGTTGCTTCGTGTCCTGTCGTGTTCACGAACAAGAGACCCGGAATCCTCAACAACCCTCTTTACCGAACCGTATGATAGTCCGGGTCCCGTGTAGTCTTGTCATCTTGTCATCTTGTCATCTTTTCTTGTCTGTATCAAGATGCCGCGTATATTTCAGGATTGTGAAAAGAGACGGACTAATATGCGGACGAAAAAAAAATTAGAGTTCTGATTTTGGATACGAAGAAAAAGGAGAGGGAGAGGGGTATGTGACAAGTGATGGAAGTGTAGGATGCCTAGGCGAAGTAGGGATAATGGCCTAGTTTACTTCTAGGTTGCAGCGATGATATTTCAGTACTACTATGTATGTTGTAGCGATAATATTCCACCCCAAAGGAAAAAGGAAAAAGGAAAAAGTAGGGTATGAATGGTATCTTAGTAGTAACACAATGAAAAAAAATGGAAAAGTAAACAAAGGAAAGAAGAGTCCTTTACGACATGACGATCCTATCCCAGCCAGTGAAATCAGGAATCTTGTAGTCACCTTCTTCGCTCTCTGCCCCTTCGCCTTCAAATGCCACAGCATCCACACTCAAAGTCCACGCCACAATCACCATGCGCGCCACAAACGCCACGGTGCGAATATCCAACGGCAACTCCGCCTTGAGCACGCGCTCAACTTGCTTGCCCAGATCCCCTCCAACACCATCGTCAGTCCCAAAACTCACACTCGATCCCGACGAAGCACGCGAAACAAAACTCAAGCGATTAGACCTCCGTCGGAGCCTTCGCTCCGGACTCTCTGACTTTGGTGCCGGCACAGCAGTCGCCGTAGCAATAGCGTTGTTGGGAGCAGTAGAACCAGCCCTCGATGTACCGGTACCCGTAGCCCTAGCATACGCATCCGCAATCTCACTCTTCACCCCCTCCTCAACCTTCTTCAGTACCTCGCTGGGCTTCATATCCGGCACCAAGGCCATCAAGCGCTCCAGCAGCGCCACGTACCGCGACATGCGTGCGGCCTTGTCAGCGCGCGAGTCCGGAGTCGTGGGGTCGATGCCGAGGCGGCGCAGGCGCTCGCGCTCGCGATGGAGGGCTTTTGCGTTGCGTTGTTCGTAGAGGGCGCCGAAGAGAGAGAGGTGTGGGGAGTGGCGGTGCAGTTTGGCGACGAGGGCTTCGAGGCGGGGGAGGAGTTTGCCGGGGGCGATGCCGCCGGTGGCGATGAAGGAGACGGTTTCTATGAGGGGGGTCGAGGCGAGGGGCGTGAGGCCGCGGGAGAAGGGTAGGGCGGCGATGGCGTTGAGGAGGGTGGTGGGGGGTTGGAGGGAGGTTGAGGGTGTGAGTGTGTAGAATCTTGGGGGCAGAGAGGAGGGTAGGGAGGAGAGTAAGGTGGTTTGCTTTGTAGAGTTTGTGATGGCGTGGCTGGTGAGGGGGGAGCCTGCCTGGATGGCTTCGAGGGTTGAGGGGGTGATGAGGATGCTGTGGGTGTTTTGGGCGTCTTGGGCGAAAGGGATGGAGCCGGCGGCGAGGTGCTTTGCGAAGAGTGGGGAGACGCCGGAGTCTTGAGCGTGCCACTGGCTTTTGTTGCGCCTGGTTTGCTGGAGGGTGATGTGGTACTTTGATCCGCCTGTTTGTACGGGGACGATCGAGATGTTGTAGGCGCCCATCTCTGAGACTAAAACAGTCTTATCGACATTGCGCTTCGGTTCGCTCCCGAAGATTATGGCAAGGGCAGTGAGTTCGGCGGGCGTGATCGTTATGGTTGTCCGGCCTTTATCAACTTTTGCTTTCTGTCCGTCTTTGGCCCATGTCTTTTTCCCGGTTTGGCGGCCTCCATCGCTTGGTAGTCCGTTACGCATCGATACCAGAGGCGACGACCACTTCTTTACAACAAGACTTTTGGCTCGTCCCAGTTCTGTCATCGACAGGTCCATACTCTTCCTCTGCATCTTTAAGCCGGCCTCTGCCCGCGAAGTCCCCGATACCGATTTAGATCGGCCAAGGGCTCCTGAAGGTTTCCTCGCCAGAGTATGGCTTTTGGTGACATCTGTGGCGTACGGATATCTTTCGAGAGGATAACGAGCGCGGATTTCCTTTTCAAATGCTGAGTACAGAGCGCTGAGTGGTATTTGTCCGTCTTCTCCCTCGAGACTTGTGAATAGTGCGGAAGAAATCAGACCCTCATCTGCAGCTTTGATAACGGCCGAGATATTTGGAACCCATGGAGTCTTTGCTGAATCCTGCTTTGGTAGAAATAGTCGCTTGAAAGAAATCGATATTGGCGTGACTTGGGGTTGCTGTTCAGCCTTGGTGTCCTTGCTGAGTTTGTCTTCTTGATTCGCATCATATTTGGGGTGCTTGGGCAGCCAGAAGCGAGTAACGAGAACCATGGTGATAGAGAAAAGGCTAGTAAGCGAGTGTTTCCTAAGACAACATTCTTCCTTTGGACCCCTTTCATGCGGGCGCCGAAGTTTTATACAAAGGCTTTTCATTGTGAGTCGGTACTGTACCATGCAGGTAGACCCTGGCCTAGCCGAGCAAAGTGTGTCTACATCGCCAATCGGAACTCAGGGAAGTCGTAAGCGACCCCCGTGTCATAATCTCGGACGAGTTGGCAGCCGCCAGCGTCATCCAGATGGATCGGGAGTTTGACTATCACTGCACATTGCCCTTGTGTGATCGCTTGATTTGTCCAGAGGGAAGGGGTTGCGAGGTCACCAGCTCCAAGACAGGGCGCTGGGCGCTTCAAGGCATCCCAAGCAAGCCATCTGTTTCAAAATTGCTTTTTGTATTAGAAATCTTACAGAGTCTTACAAAGAATACTTTTTGGACTACTTGCGCGCGTCTTGACGAAGGTACGCATCTGAGTCTTTTTTTCCAAAATGCCTCAAGGCTTTGCTCGAAATCAAGCTCTAGACAAGCATTCCAGCCACAGTGCATATGCGCCACACGCGTCCCTTCAAAGAACTAGCTGTTCTGGGACATCTGACTTGACCGGTTTACGCGATGACTGTCACGACGCGGAGCAGCGGACGAAACGGACCAACGAAGATCTGCGCATCGGCTCCCGAAGAAGGCGTTGTCCGACCAAACCCTTGTAAATCCCTGGAGGCGGTCAGTTGGAGCAAATGTAGTACCATACCATTGTTGAATTTTTCAAGTAGTACACAGTACTATGTGGCGTCAGAATTGATCAGGCGAAAATTCCAGAAGAAGATTATTAATATGGCTCCCTCAAGGCAGTACTGGTAGGCCAGCACAAGGCAGCCTATGCAAAGCCACAAATACCAACGGATTAGTTCGCGGCTAGATAGAGCTCTTTTTTTTGTTACTACGGAGATCTACAGTGGTTCGACGTGTCTTCCGTCTATCGGAGATAGAGGGTGCGATGAGTCGGGCGGAGCGGATGATGCTAAAGCCGAATCCCGCACAGCTTCACATGGGAATGAAGCAGCGTGACCGCGCCATACATGATCCTAACATGTCCGCATAACCGCTGACCTGAAACAGAAAAGACATGGGGAAGGAAGTAATCGCTCGTGATAAATGTCTCGATTCTACAATACGGGCAATACGGGCTGACAATATGCTACCACGTGGAAAATTCGCTCGGTAATAGAAGTGGCTCATGGATGGACGTATAAGATAACGTCATATTGTTCAGCGATTGCAATCTGATATATTCCATCATAAAGCATTATTTCTTTTGTGAGATTATCAGTATCTAAACATATTATGGAGACCGCATGCCTGAGCCAAAAAAGAAAATAAGCGCTATAATTATCCCGGTGCTGACTGCCATCCTCGCACTTATGCACCAGTCAGTCTGCCCCGTGTCGAAATGACATGAACGCCATTGGAAAGTCAAGTATACCGACCTTTCCTCAGCCTTATGACTGGCGGTGAGATCTAAGTGACGCTTTCCACGTCACGACCATCGGGTCTGCTGATGAGCTGCTGTATCTTGAGAAGTTTCTTCTGTGACACTACAATAGGCTTTGCATGATCAAAGACCAGCTTGACCATTGTGCGTGTCGAGTAAATCACAAGATACCGTCGGACCCATTTGGTATCTACATCATCTCCAGTAGACGAACGAGCTGCCGCAGCGCCAACGGTACTTACCCAGTACAAAACACCAGACATCTTGTCCCATACGTCCGCAACAGCAGTACGGCGTAGTATTTTGAACAATGCTTGGCTCAAGTGGGTATTGAGATGACTCGCGTCGGATCCCAGACAGTTGAACGCTTCCGACTCTGCCACTAACGGGTTTCGGCATGGGTTAGCAGCAGTGGAGAAAGGTATACGCAGTAAGATTGAAGCGGTATAGATGAGCGCGGCAATACGGCAGGCCTCGAAAATCCAGTCATTGGAAGTGGGGAGGTCTGGGACGTGTGCTGAGGGAAGGCTAGTCAAGCGCTTGCGTATTGCAGTGACTCTACTACAGTACTCAGCGTTGCGCTGTTCCCAGTAGGCCGCATCTATCTTGCAAGTATCGCGAACAGTCTCAGATGCGGCTCCTTGGGAAATGAAGAGATCGGTCAAGTCCCGCATGTCTCGAAGTAAGTCACGTGTCGAGGTCGAGCAATGCGAGTCGCTAGCAATTGTCGTAAAGTCTGTTCTAGGGCAAAATACAGGCGACTCAGGTATTTCAACACCGTCAATAGTCGCTGAGTTTACGACTGGTAGATCAGTGGCAAGATCAGGTAGAGGTTCGGCTTCGCAGATCAAGTCACCGTGATAGCAGACCCTAGCATGCAAGGTTAGCACAACGTCGATCTGTGAGAAGGTTTGCTCACGCAGTGCATGTTTCTGCCAAGATTTCGTTGCCCAAACATTGTAGCCCACCACGATGCTGAAGTAAATGTGCAATACCCCGCTCGTGTACACGAAGCGCCTTCTCATTGGAGCCCGATATCTCACCCATGAGCAAGTGAAGCACGACCATGATCGTGGAATCTGATGAACAAGTGCTCTTCTTTCCCAGCCGCTGATTAACCATACCGATAATCTCGTCCTTTAGCAGGCGGGTTTGCGTGCTTTCACCTGGAATCTCCGAGTGCATGTCTAGCCAAACGGAAGCTAGGATTGCAGAACTGAGCATGACTTCGGGATCAGACAGCATGACAGGGAGCCATTTGACATGGAACGAATCACTTGCAAATGTCCGGATACCTGATCGGGTTGTTAATTGTGTATTTCAGACGAATGAATCATGGAAATGTATGCATACAATGACGCTTGAGGAAAAGCGAGTTGACCTCCGGATGTTTGAAGTCTGGTAGCACAAAAAAGGGGTCCACACCATCTCCAATGTTACATATTGTAGTTACTTGGGCCGTGAAAAGACGTAGGATGCGCTCTTCTTGACTCTCAGCATAGTCACAGTCGTCTGAATTGGCCTTGGGGCTAGTCAGCGTCAGCAGGGCGCGTGTGGTGGACAGCTGTCGATTAGATCGTGGCATGTGTTCAAACGTGATGCTGTCGTGAGCATGCCGACGCGTGATTTGGTTCGTTTCATTTCCGTGCTGCTGTTGCAGCAGTAGACAACCTTCCAGTTTCCCTGGTGCATCTCCATGATCGCGACCATTGTGCAGGATGTGTTCTTCTAAGGGAGTAGTCTCCTTTGTGGCTAGTACTTCGGAGCATTCCTGAGGTAGCCTAACCTCTTTTCGTGGTTTATTCCGGTGATATGACATTGCGTGAGAACGCACGCTGCGTCTCGTATCGTCATTCCTGAAATGTGACGGATTGGTCGCGGTGAGGAATCGCAGTTGGAGTTTGAACGGTCCATCGCGTTGGCCTCGTCGACGTGTAGCCTGCTTCTTTACATGGTTCTCTCGGAACAGGCGTTGACCTAGTAGAATGGGTTAGCACACGGGGCCTCGTACGAGGCTCTTGACCCATACTTGTAGCGACGTTAAACTGTTTTGATGTCGGAGCCATGATACACGATCAGCGGCTTAACGGCCAAGAGCTGAGGGGTATGTCTTTGCCAATATTCGTGATTGTGGTGTAGGGGATGTGCCCTGCATCCCTAGGGCGGGTGTTTACAAAAGACATCTTTTCGGGGTTGATGCGGCGCATTACCATCCAAGGCTGAGTGGCTGATTTGGTACCACATTAGCATTTGGGGGCCAAATCGAGATCCAAGCCAAGGGCAGCACGTGTATGCAGGAAGTGTCTTTTTGCTTCCTCCAAGCCCAATAATCCTCAACTGTCCAGTCAGGAAGCCAGTAAAATGAATTGTCCGCCTCTCAATCTGCCCCACGAAAGCGCGAGAGTAATATCGTGGCTTTTTAATAGCCTTACCAGTGTCCGGCAGTAATTGGAAGGCAATGGCCCCTCTTTGTTTACCGCTTCTTCTTCATCGAGGCAATGGTGTACGGGCGCTTCATGTGGCGAATGAATTATTCACAGCAGGTTTTGTGCTAGATATGTATATATGGTTGGGTCCAGCAGCTGTACGGTGAGTGTAGGGTCACGTGTCGTGTGTCGCTCGCGGGCGACGCCAATAACATCGCTGTCAGCAGTACTCGACGCCTTCGGATGGTAATTGCCTGGTCGGGTTAGCGACTAAAAGCCCCAACACCGGTGAGAGCGTTGTCAACGGTGAGTGACACCAATCAGTGCTATGTAACAGTCCTATTCGATGGTGTTAAGCGGAGACTGTTCAGATGGGGTAGTACTAGCAATTGGAGACTCCAACATTCATCAGCAGCTTGGTGCTACCACACCCGACAGGTATCGGATGCGAGTGACGCCAATTAGGGAAACTTTAACGTATTAGGTACATAGGTAGGAGCTAGGCAACACCCAACACCAATCATATCGCTGTCGCTAACAGGCCATTATTCTGGTAAGAAGTCCGTACTACTGAAAGACGCGCACTGTCATATAGTTTCATTATGGGCACTGAATACAAAGTCACATTGGAAAATACAGTATGGCAACACATATATTAAAGTCAATTAGCTGAGTGACCTTTTACTGACTGACTGAGCAACGAAACTTCTTGACATTGGTTTTCAGTTCCATAGTAGCGTTCATCCTCGCATCACAGTACCCCAGTTTTGGTAGAAGAGATATGATTCAAAGTCATCTGGCATGCTTGTAGCAAGCAGGGCAGGGAAAACATGCAAAGAAAGTAACAGAAAGCCTTCTGGTCCGCACATATCCTCCCCTACTTCAACCTTTCTCCAGAAGACTCTGCCACTTATTCCTTCAGCCTTCCCAGCGCCTTCCTAATCTGTCTTCCATACAGATCTTCATCAACCCGACATCCGTTCTCCCTCATAATCTCCCTTACACGTTTGTACCTCGCATGCATCTCCATTGGCTCGACACATCCAATATCTCCATTCTCTTCTCCTGCTGCAAATGCAAGAACGCGAAGCACCTTCTTTGGCTCCACTTCGATTCTGCTGTCCATTTTGTATTCGGTATCGACATTCAGGTAATTGCTTACCAGGTATCGAACTAGAGATAAGGGAAAAGGAAGGTGGTGTGCCAGGTATTTAGAGATGCAGTATATGGAATGCGTTAAGGCTGAGAAGATATTGACTAGAGCATTGGCGGTCGACTCGATCGCATCTGGTGAACAGGGGGTAGATTGAGGGGGAGCCAGACTGGTCTTTGAAGGGTATTCAAAACGTGCGACTATCCTCTGAATGGAGCAATCATGTTTTGCTGTGCTTCGGGTGTGCTTCTTTCGTACTCCCTTGCCCTTGATTCGATGCTGTTGATTGCTCAATCTTGATCCCTTTTCTTGATCCTTATCTGAATCATATCTTATGAATACTTCCATCTCATCTATTGAAGAATTGCTTTCTTCCGGCATGGGATGGTCTTCGTATACGATATTTGTGAGGGCGTTTGGGATTTCAGGTGCACGCACTCGATATTTTGTATCGTCCATGGCCACTGAGATATGAGGAAGGTTTGTTTTTTGAAACAGCGCCTCTATCTTGGAAAGAACATCTGGTACAATTCCCGGAGGTGCGAGTGGTAGTGTGTCTTTGAAAGTGTTCATCTTGAATAGTTGAGCTGCGCTGTGTAGTTATTCAGTACTTTTGACAAGACTGATATTGGAGCAGGAGGGCAGAAGGATGCATGAAAACCAAGTTTGAAACTCGCCAGATCACACGCCGAACGTATGACCTCTCACTAATATCGAGGACGAGCGGTGGCGGGTGAAAGGGATGCCGGTGACGTGATTGTAGACCAGTGAAAGTGAAGATAGGAGGGCTTCTTGGCAGCACTGTGATTGGGGTTGTATGTTCGAGCTTTCATGCTTCCAAAGCCGCCGTTTTTCTTATAGAAAGAAGATAGTACTACGCTGATTGTATACTGACATGGTGAACATGAACAGGTGATCTCGGCGTGCATATTCTAGTGGCCAACTTACCTTTCTCATTCATAGTGATCTGATCTAGACATATACCTGTGCGCTTATATATCGATAACATCTGCGACATTCAACGCAAAATAGATCAAGACTCCAGCTTGGAAATAATGCAAAAACTTAGGACAGAGTTTAACAAGAAGCCCAAAAGATAAGACAAAACACAATAACCACATCAGCTTTAAACATCGGGGTTTCAAATTTTTCAAAAAGTAAACTCTACATAAGACATCCATCAATGAAAATGTTCATTCATTATGGCAGCCGGCACATTACCGAGAAAACAGTAGAGCAAACTAGACCGAACGTCTCACTACGCCACCGCAATTTCCATCGCCCACTCAGGCCTCTCATGCGTTTCTGCACTTTCCTGCTCAAACTCCATTCACGACTGAACTATCCAATCCAAAAAAAGTGAAGAGCCCGCATCTACCGCACAAAGAACGTTGACAGTCGAGCCCAAATCCAACTAGTCCACAAGAAGAAAAGCGCATAATCACCAACATAAACAACACCTGTGTATCCCCAAACCTCAAGCTCACATCCCTTCGCATACCCGTTTTCTTCCAACCTCCCTATCCATTCCCGTTCTAACAATGGAAATCCATCAAATACGCAACCGCAGGCCATTCTTAGATCAAGAAGGACCACCCGTACCACCAAAACCATATGCTTCGAATACGCCTTCAACAACGCATGACCGACTCGCAGCTGTAACATCGACTCCAGGGAATGCGATATCAAAGCCACTTCCACCGGTTCCCGGGTCAAGATTAAGTCGCGGTGCGGGAAGCAAAGTAGTATCGAAGCCTCTGCCGAGTCCCCCAAAGAGCTCGACTGTACGGTCGACGTTTCTATGGATCTTAGGGTTTGCGGTTTGGTTTCTGCTAATCGTGATCTTGCTACCTGTGATCACGGAGAAAGATGCAATGCCAGGATTCAATCGGTGGCTTCGAAACCGATTCACATGAATCACAAAGAGCGAGGACGCACGTCTTATTAAGTCAGTGTCAATCAACTTGGGCTACATCCGATTACACGGGGATCTCAATTGCATAATCAGCCAAACTACAGTTTCGAATCGGGCTTTGTCGCATCCACCAGACTCTTCCTGCCACCAAACCCGAATAGATAGGCTGCCACCTTGCGCATCTGGATCTCCTCGCTACCTTCAGTAATCCTATACCGTCGATGATGTCGCCAGATATGTTCAAAGGGAAAGTGCCTTGAATATCCATTACCGCCATGGACCTGGATCGCGCGGTCGGCTGCTTCAGTGCACAGCCTGTTTGCATAGTAATTACACATCGACACCTTGTCCCCGATCTTCTTTTCGATCTCGTTGTGCGGCATTGAGTCCATTTCCAACGCAGTTTTCCTTATGAGTTGGCGCAGCATTTCACATTGAGTGGCGAGTTCAACGAGTGGGAACTGGATGCCCTGGTTGTGCGAGAGGGGCGTTCCAAAAGGTGCGCGTTCATTGGCATATTCAACGGATTGTTGGACACAGTATACAGCTGCGCCTAGGGATGAAGCAGCTTGTCGGATGCGGTTTTCGTGCACAAAGGCTTGGGCGACTCCCAATCCATTGTGTATGGGCCCTAAGGCGGCAGTTTCAGGTACCCATACATCCTTGATCGAAACAGTCGCGTGGTCGGTAGGCATATTCAAAGTCCTGTGGTTGGTGGTCAGTACGGTTTCTCAGCAAGGCGGAATAGAATACGCACCACTCGTACGACTCTGCTTTGAGACCAGGCGTCTCAATGGGTACAATGAAGCAAGAGATACCCTTGACCTGCCCATCTTCCCCCGACGTCCTCGCAAATATCGAACAGTGGGTGGCATCATGTATACCCGACTGCCACTTCTTGTACCCATTCAGCAACCAGCCCTTGACTCCATTCCTCGTCTCCGGCCTCCCTCTTGTAGCCATATGTGTAGCATCCGACCCATGACCAGGTTCCGTCAACCCAAATGTCATCCTAAACTTACCCTCAAGTCGCAGCGGTATAAATTCATTCTTCTGCTGTTCATTCCCAAAGTTCATAAGCATGACTACATCCGGGAAATTGCCAACCACTGAATGCTCATTCTGAAGGTCATTGAATAGTCCTAGGCCCTTGGCTGCAAGATGCTCTCGAATGACAGCCATCCAAAGATTGCTTCCTCGCCCGTCGGCGTTACTTCGCCCACCATACTGCTTTGGCAACGAGAGTCTGTAGAAGCCGGCTTCATCTGCGAGTCTTCTGCATTCAGCTAATAGATCATCCCATTCTTTGCGCGGCAGCCCGCCATTATCCCAATCTGTGCGAGCGTGCTCACGGCGGTGATCGAAGAACCGGTTGTTATCGTCTTTGTGTTGTAGCGGGGTTATCTTTTCTTCTATGAATTTATCGAGATCGGCGAGGTATTGTATCAGGTCGTCGGGAATAGAGAAGTTCATCGTTGTGCGATTGCGATGTGGTGGTTCGGAGAGGGGAGAGGTAACGAATTCGAGCGGTATTGGGGGTTGGGTTTCTTTCAGCGATTGGTGTAATCTCTG